TTTTTTTTTTTTTTTTTTTTGGCTACAGAATCCAAATGACTCTTTTGCCACTTTCACTTAAATACCCATACCAGAGCAAAGAAATCTTAAAACAGAAGTAGATGTTTTGGTTCTTCAGAATCCCATGACCCAAGGGTCACACCCAGCCAGTGATACCAAACAAGAAAGTCAAAAAAACAATAGATTCACAAGATACATACAGTGTAGTTGTCTACACTGGATGCGGCACGACAAATTCCCCTCTGTAAACTGATGCTTCGTTCTATTTATGACGAACTGACACAAAGTTAAAATGATTTGCAATGGCTGCTTTTTCGAGTCCAGTGTAGACACACGGTGTTAGTGAACTTTCAGTGACTTGAGCCTGGTGGAGGAGAAGAGGGAAAGGGGGTTCAGGATGGGTGAGCAGCTTCCATTTCTGTGAAAGTTCCTGAGTCCGTTTTTGTCTGAAAATCAAGCCAATCTTTCAGCATCAATCTGATTGACAGGTGCAGTGAAAGACATTGATGTGACTGGATATTCTGGAAGAAGCATTCTTGTTGATTCACACGAGTCTTGGTTCAATTCTTCTGCTAAACACATGAGTAAGTTACCTGGGTGGAGAATAATTATGTTTGATAAGAGACATGAAAAATGGATTAATGAAGGACGATTCACATTGTTTAAAAACAATGAAGACAAACTTATGATCTACATCAGAGATTTAAATCAACATGATGCTGGAAGATACCAGATTAGCATTGAAGGCAAATGGTCCATCGATATGACTTTGAAAGTGGAAGAAGGTCAGTTATTTTAAGATCAAATTCTTAAGATCAAAAGTGTAGTAAAACAACTGATCATTTCAAAACTTTTAATGTTTGTGAAATATATTTCTTTAATTTTGTGAATTACAGAAATATGTTGTAAAATGTCGAAGAGAGTAATGGTGAAGATTGGAGAAACTGACACCTTCAGCTGTGAATATTCGAACAGTCATATTAATAACTACAAAATCATATTCAAAGAAGGAAGAGACACCATTGACACCATCTACAGCAAATGGAATAAAACAGAAAGATTCAGTGTAGATGACAAACATAAAAACATCTTCAGTGTGATAATCACTGCTGTGACAGCAGATGATGGAGGAGTTTATTTGTGTGGAGTTTGGATCAACAGACACTCGTACACTTACTCCATTATTACTACAGTTTACCTGCACATTATGGGTGAGTAACACAAAGTATCAATGTCTTCTAGAAAATACATGTTTGCTTCTTCAGTATTTCCTAGATGTCACATTCGATTAATGTGATTCAATAAGATATTTTCTGATAAACAGATGTAGTGGGCGTGTCTAGAGCGACCGGCTACTCAGGAGGTCGTCTGATGATCAAGTGTGAACATCTTCAATACAAAACCAAACCAAAATACATCTGTAAAGAATCAGACGGATGTTCAGAGAGGAAGAATCCAGGAGTTTGGGGGTCCAAACTTTTCTACAAAATCGGTGCCTTTTCCACTTGGAAAAATTGAAAAATAAAATGTTTAATCAACATTTTTTGAATATCCATGAAATGAAGACACCTTAAAATGACAAGAATTTGTATTGTGCCATCTCAGGCTATGTAAATTTATTATTTTATGACTATTTTTCTACCTCATGTTTTGGTATTTTTGTCAAACCTGTTACCAACACAAGCGTTACTAGATACTGTAGTTTAATTAGAACTCATATGCCACTGAATGATATAGGCATTAGCTCAATAATATATAGAGGGTGACCTTTAAAATGTTTGATTTTTACACAGACAGTCTTTAAACACAGGGTCATACCTAATCAATGTCATCCCTGTTACCCACATGTCAAAACCTGTACTCTAAAACGTAACAGGTTAACAGTAACAGGTTTGATGATTTCAAACAAATGTACTACTAGTTCAAGGATATGTGTATACTTACTACATAAAGTATACTTAAAAATACACTTGAACTTTACTTAAGTATACTTAATAAAATAAACTTGAAGTATACTACTTTTTGGTAAGGGCCCTCAGTCAAGCCTCATAAATCATCAAAAATAGAACATCATAGCAGTTAAAGAGAAATCTGGTTGAGAGATGATGTTTTTTTTGTTTTTTTTTACAGGGCTTTACATGGTAACAGGGCTGACATGAAATCAGGGGACACCAGTACAATGATTTATATTTTATAGAACAAAAAATGCATACTTATGCCAAAAACACTGCTTAACAATGATACTATATTTAGAACAATATGCAAATGTGATTTTTATATCATTTTGCCTTCATTTTGCAAATTAAAAGTCCTGCTGAAAAAGAAAAATCATAGTGAGGGACAGGCCAAAAACCTTACCAGCATAAATGCTATTTAACTGATTTAAAATAATATTTAATTGACTTTTTTATGTAATATTGATGAAAGCATACATAGTATTGTTATGTGTTTAAATTGCACATTTATTTAATAAATAATAACAAATTTATTTGTTGTTTTATTAAATCTATGTTTGATTATTTCTTAGAGACATCAAAAGAACACATTTTGTGGGATGAACTTTGGGATGAAGGGATCATTCATCCTTGGGAGAAATGGATGGAGATTGGAGATGTTTCTTTATATGACGACACCAGAGCAGGAGTCTTGATGGTGTTTTTTAGAGAGCTGAAAGCTGCAGATGCAGGAACATACAGGTGTGGAGTGAAAGTATCTGACTATACTGAGAGCTTCACTGAACTTCAGCTGCACCTCAAACACGGTGAGCAAACTCAAGTAATTTATCTTGTATATAAATTATTTGTTCAGATTTTTATGCAATTTTAAATTTTAATTTAAAAAAATGTCATTTACAGATGCAAAATATCTACAGAGTGTGACTGAATTTGCTCATCTTGGTGAAACAGTCAACATCACCTGTCAGATCCCAGAGCAACAAGAAGTTAATTTCTGCAAAGAGGATAATAATCACATCTGCCAAACCATCAGGTCATCTAAAGTGACAGAAATGACTCCTTCATCTGAGAGAAATGAAGAGAGAGTTGTTAGAGTGAGCATCAGTAATGTGAGTGTGAGAGATGCTGGAGTTTACTGGTGTGGAGCAGAAACCAGAGACACATATCTGACTTTCATCTCCCTGAACACTAAAATTCAGCTCAACATCATCAGTGAGTCCATTCAGATGATTTCACTTGAATAGATAGAGTACATTCAATAACACAAATTGTGCGTGTTAAATGTCCATGTTTGTTTGTTA